TTCTTGTGTGAGTTTTAGCAGGTTGAGTCTTTCAAGGAATTGGTCCATTTTATCTACGTTATCAAATTTGTGGGCAGAGAGTTATTCCTAATATTCTTTTTTTTTTTTAAATGTTTTTTTTTTAAATTTATTTCTAGGAGAGAAAGAGAGAGAGATAGCGTGAGCAGGGGAGGGTCAGAGAGAGAGGGAATCACAGACTGAAACAGGCTCCAGGCTCTGAGCTGGCAGTCAGCACAGAGCCCGACGCGGGGCTCGAACCCACGAACCGCGAGATCATGACCTAAGCGAAAGTCGGACGCTCAACCGACTAAGCCACCCAGGCGCCGCATTCCTAATATTCTTTTATTATCCTTTTGATGTCCGTGGTATCTATAGTCATGACCTTCTCTCCTTTTTGATACTGGTAATTTGTGCTCTCTTTTTTCTTAATTAGCCAAATTAGAGTCTTATCAATTTTATTAATCATTTCCAATAACGAGTTTTGGTTTCATTGGGTTTCCGTATTGAATTCCTGTTTTCAGCTTCCTTGATTTCTGCTCTATTTTTCATTATTTCTTTTCTCCTGCTTACTTTAGATTTAATTTGTTCTTCTTTTTCTAGTTTCCTAAGGTACAAACTTACATCACTGATTTTAGATCTTTTCTTATTTTCCAATATACACATTCAGTGCTGCAAATTTCCCTCTAAGCACTGCTTTTGTTGCACACTACAAATTTTTATAAGTTGTTTTCATTTCCATTAGTTACAAATATTTTAAAATTTCTCTTGAGCTTTCTTCTTTGACCCATGTGTTATTTAAAAGTGTGTTGTTTAAAAAATAAAAATGTATTGTTTAATCTCTATGTATCTTGGTACTTTCCAATAATCTTTTTGTTAATTTATTTCTACTTTAATTCCGTTGTGGTCTGGGAGCAGACATTGTGTGATTTCTCTTCTTTTAAGTGTGTTTTAAGGCCCATAATGTAGTCTACCCTGGTGAGTGTTCATAGTGTTTTGAAGTATATCTCTTTGCGTAAAACACCACCCAACAATAGCAGAATGCACTTGTTTCCCCCAAGTACCTACAGAATATTACCGAGATAGAATATATACTTGGCCATAAAACAAATCTCCACTAATGTAAAAGAACTGAAATCATGCAGCGTCTGTTCTCTGAGCACAATGGAATCAAACTAGAAATCAAGAACAGAAAGATAAGAATGTCTCTAAACACTTGAGAATTATACAACACACTTCTAAATGATCTACGGACCAAAAAGGAAATCTCAAAGGAAATTTACAGAATATAGATAGAACTGAATTAAAATGAAACTATAACATGGAAATATGTAACATGCAACTAAAGCAGTGCTGAGAGAGAAAATTATAACACTAAATGCTTTCATTTGAAATTAAGAAAAGTGTCAAGTCAATAGTTGGAGATTCTACATCAAGGAACTGGAGTAAGAGTTAAAAAAAAAAAAGCCCAGAGCAAACAGAAAAAAAGAAATAATAAAGAGCTGAAATCAATGAAATTGAAATAGGAAAATTATTAAATGAAGTAAAATCTGGTTCTTTGAAAACAAAATTGATAAATAATATTGACAAACCTCTAGCAAGACTGATAAAAATAAAAAGAAAAGATATAAATCACCAATATCAGAGATAAAATATGGATATCACCACTGATCCTGTAGTCATTAAAAATATAATAATGAACTACAACCAACAAATTTACATTCATGTATTTGACAACCTACAAGAAATGGACCAATTCCCCCCAAACAGCAAACTACTAAAACTCACCCAATATAAAATGGATAATCTGAATATCCTTATAACCCTTAAAGAAATTGAATTCATAATTTTAAAAGGTGCTGAAAAAGAAATATCCAGGTCTAGATACTCTTACTAGATAATTCCACCAAACATTTAAAAGATAATTAACAACAATTTTACACAATCTCTTCCTAAACACTTCCAACTCATTTTATGAGGCTAACATTACCCTGATACCAAAACCAGACAAAGTTAGTACATAGACTATATATAGACACTCTATCTTTCTCTATCTCTCTCAAAAATAAATAAATGTTAAAAAAAAACAACAAGAGAATTTTATTCTCTCAGAGTTCTGGAGGTCCAAAGTCTGAAGATAAAGCTTTGGCAGTACTGGTTGTTTCTAGAAGCACTGAAAGAGAATCAGTGCCATGCCATTCTGCTACGTGGCTGGTAGAAGTTCTTGGGGTTCTTTTGTTTGTATACACAATGCCCCAATTTATTTTTTTAAAAATTTTCAACATTTATTTATTTATTTATTTATTTTTTTAATGTTTTATTTATTTCTAGGAGAGAGAGAGAGAGAGACAGCATGAGCAGGGGAGGGTCAGAGAGAGAGGGAGTCACAGACTGAAACAGGCTCCAGGCTCTGAGCTGGCAGTCAGCACAGAGCCCGATGCGGGGCTCGAACCCACGAACCGCGAGATCATGACCTAAGCGAAAGTCGGACGCTCAACCGACTAAGCCACCCAGGCGCCCCAACATTTATTTATTTTTGAGAGAAAGAGACAGAGCGTGAGCAGGAATAGGGCAGAGAGAGACAGGGAGACACACAATTGGAGGCAGGCTCCAGGCTGTGCTCTATCAGCACAGAGCCCCCAACGCAGGGCTTGAACTCAAGACCGAGGAGATCATGACCTGAGCCAAAGTCAGATGCCCAGCCGACTGAGCCACCCAGGACCCCCTACAATGCTCCTATTTCTGATTTTATCTTCATATGGCCTTTCTCTTTGTGTATCAGTGTCAAATCTCCTCTTTTTTCTTATGGGGATAATAGTCATTGGATTTAAGGCCCACCCTAAATCCAGAATCATCTCATCCCCAGATCCTTAACTTACTTACAGTGCAAAGACCCTATTTCCAAATAAGGTCACATTCACAGAAACCTGGAATTAGAACTTGTACGTATTTTCAGTGGGACACAATTCAACCCGTGGCAGAGGAGAATTGCCTCAACTTGATAAAAAGCATCTACAAATAACCTAGAAATAACATATTTTGTATTGTGTTATGTACAAGTTGTACATGTAAAGTATTGGAAGTTATAGCAACTGCAATAAAGTCATAAAAAGAAATAAAAAGCCTGTGAATTGGAAAGGAAGAAATAAAAGTGTCTCGACTGGAATCTAGATTATATGGAGACCTCTCAAAATTCAACAGTTGAAAATTTAACAATCCAATTAGAAAATGGGCTAAAGATGTGAACAGACCTTTCACTGAGGAAGATACACAAATGATAAATTATCACATAAAAAGTTGTTTAGCATCATTAATTTGCATTAGGGGAATGCAAATTCAAACTACAGTGATATATAACTACACACGTATGTAATGGCTGAAGTAGAAAATAGCGACAACACCAAAGGCTGAGGACGATGTGGAGAGATTGGACCACTCACATGTTATCGGTGGGAATGTATATTGGGCTAGCCACTCTAGAAAACAGTGCGGCTGGTTTTAGTTTTAGTTTTTAATAAAACGCTAAACATGTAACTAACCATCTGACCCAGCAACTGCACTCTTCGGAACTTAGCCCAGGGAAATGGAAATTTATGTTCACACAGAAATCTGTACGTGAATGTTCATTGGCGTTTTATTCAATAGCCCATACTTGGAAACAACCCAGATGTTCCTAAGTGGGTGAATTGTTCAACAAATTGAATGCTGCTAACCAATTAAAGGCAATGAATTACAAATACACACAACAACTTGGGTTCACTGCCAGGTAATTATGATGAATGAGAAAAAGCCCATCCCACAAGGTTACCATGCTTCCGTCTATACAACAGTTGTGAAATGACAAACTTTTAGAAATGTAAGACATATTAGTGGTTACCAATGCTTAGAATCAGGGATGGGGTGCAAGAGGGAGGTGAGGGTGATTATAAAAGGGCGATATCAGGGGTCTTCGTAGTGATAAAACACTACAGTATCCTCATTGTGGTGGTAGATAACATAAAACTACCCATGTGATAAAATTGTATGACACTGAACGCATACACGCATGCCTGAGTACAAGTAGAACTGGAGAAACACAATAAGATCAGTGGATTGTCTCAATTCCAGTGTCCTAATTGTGATATTATAGTATAGATTTAAAAAATTATATCATTGTGGGGGGCTGGGTAAATTGTACATGGAATATCTGTGTGATTTCTTAGAACTGCATGTGAATGAATCTACCATTATCTCAATAAAATTTTCAATAAAAAAATTATTGAGGGCTCCCAAAGAGTTTCTGCTGTGTCAACTACTGCCATTTATAGTCACTAAGTTAGAAATGAGAACTAAAAATTATTGAGACAAAAATCCACAAGCACACATTCCACTAGGTGCCAACGCAATGACGTCATCTACCGTGCAGCTAGTAGAACACTCCACTGTACATTCATGAGAGGAGGAGAGTGGAAAAGAGAAATTGCATCTTGGCATTATTATGAATATCATTTTGAGCTTGAAGCCTCTCAAAATGGCCTTAGGGGTCGGGTGACCAACTTCTCCTGGTTTTCCTGGTTTAAGCACTGAAAGTCCTAGCAAAACTAGGATGGTTCTCCTGAGAGAACCTGAGAGAAAATCTACCTGATTTTAAAACTGAAAAGTTCCACATCCAAGGAATATGTTAGTCCTGGTGAGACTGGATGGGTTATTCTCCATATTTATGGACCTTTTAGTGTCCCTGGATAACAGTTTAAGAACCTCTGTGTAAGGCCATCCTTATACAGAAGAAATACCCAGTTCGGTGTTATTACCTCACCACCGCAGAGGATTGAGTATTGTCCCCATTGTAATTTGTTAGACCCCCCCCCATGCCCATTGCTTGCTCACTTTTCCCATACAGCCCATTGTACCTTCTCCTTCCCTTGAATTCCTCAAATAAGATGCTATTGAAAGTGCTTTGTAATGAAAGAGTGTCATCAGAATGTGAGTATGCATCATTTTCTTTTCGATGATTGTCTTTCCAGGTCAAGGTAGTATGGTGCAGGTGACCATCCCAGACAGCGTCATGAACGTGACTGTTGGATCTGATGTCACACTTGTCTGCACCTACACCAGCACTGTGGTCTCCCGGGACAAGCTTTCCATCCAGTGGTCATTCTTTCATAAGAAGGACTTACCACCAACTTCCGTAAGGACTTTTTTCCTCAACTCTTCCGCTGTGGTAGTTCTGACATAAACTGTTAGAGTCAGTGTGTGAAGGAGTGGTAAGCCAGTGACAACAGTGGCAGAACCTCAGATACAAAGAGTTTGAAGACAGCTGGGAAGATGGGAAGACCATCATCTATGTGACTCGGCCTTTGTCCTCTCTTCATATTCAGCTATAGCCTGCTATCTCAAATCTGAGTAGGTCAACATTGAATATATTGTGTTTTCTAGAGTAGATAGGAATGGTCCTTCTCATAGGTGAAAGGAGCAGTAGTTCTCAAAGGGTTCTCCCTCCCCTGAAATAATCTCTCTATTATTTCCCAGAGACCCCAGTTCAAATACACGTCCTACCTGATCAGCAGATCTCTGCTAAATGTAGCATCTGGGATCTGCCTGTCAAGTGAGCTAAGTCATTGTGTCTGACCGAGTCCTGATGGAATGACACTCCCAGATGGATAGACAAGGGCCAAGGTAGTGATGAACCCTGGGTAATCCCACAGGAAGCTAGAGGATACAGGATAGGGGAAGTAGGCTAGGGTCTGGGCTAAGAGGTTGCTGGAAGAGGGTCCATGAAAGTCAAAAAAGAACCATTCTACCTGTAAGCTGCCTAGTCTCGGTTTTTATTCATCTGGTCTTAAGGGTAATTCCTTTTTTAAATTAGCACAAGGACTAAAATTGTATGCTCAAAGGTGTGGGTGTGTGTGAGAGAGAGAGAGAGAGAGGGTGGGAGAGCACATGTAGCAATCTGCATGAGTGTACAACAGGTCTGCCAATACGTATCCCTTGAGAGAAAAGGCCTATAACTTTCATCAGATTTTCAAAAGGATGTATGGTCCCAAACAAGGATTTCAGAGAAGAAACAAATGAGTATGGTTTGGAATAGTTGGATGTAGTTGAATTGTGCCTTGAACAAAAGGAAGGGTTTTGGTTTAGTAGAAAAATAGGGGGTGAGTTCAGTGGGCTAGGGGAGGTTTAAGGGCAGAGGTACAGAAGAAGGAGGGTGCTAGCTTAGAGGAGCCACACCGTGGCCTGTGTCACTTAAGCCATATCTGGTCCTTTGGAGGTGCTAAGTTCTCTCTTCACCAGAGGGCCTACAGACTTTTGTAGCAGGAGACACAGCTCAAGACGTGATTTCATTAATGCCACTCTCCAATCAACTTCCGACACTTTTGCTCAGCACTGGTTACCTCAGACAAGTGTCTGAATCGCTCTGTGCCTCTCTTCAAAATGTGGTGAAGCGCTAACACTCTCCTGCAATCTCATGGGGAGTCCGCTAACACAATGCATGTGGAAACGCTTGGAAAAAATATAAAGATCTAAATTTTCTCCCTTGTAAACAGCTTTATCACCTTAATCAGCAGCAGCAGCAGCAGCAGCAGCAGCAGCAGCAACACCAGTAATTTTACCACTTTTTGTCACCCAAATGCCCTGACCCAAGACCCCACATATTGCAATCAACTGAGAAACCATCCTCTTCCTTTGTAGGTTGCTCTCTCAGACTGTGGATGGCAATAATCACGTGAACTCTCTTCCTTTTGGAAATTCAGTTTCCTGGATAGTCTTTCTAATACATTCTTTATCTGCAGGCTTGAAGGCTTTTCCATTTTGCCAGTAGAGGCCAACTTTAGAGAGGCCTTGCCACTATCTTTAACATTTTTTTTTAATGCTTGGTACTCAAATCCAGATGTCCTCAACTGCCTGGAAGTGAGGTTGGGGCCAATCTGAGGTCAAAAATATAAATTGTTCTTTATGTCTCCCCTGACGCTGGAATTTACAAGGCTGCCTCTTGGTTGAACTATGTAGTGATGGGTTGGGAGACAGACACAGGGCAGGAGGATCTTGTGAACAGCAACGAGGTTTTATGTAGATGTGGAGATACACAGAAGGTGTAGGTGATTGAACTGAGCGTGGCTTGAGCTCAGGGCATCGCTTAGGGGCACTTTGGAAAGGAACTATTAAAATGTCTTTGTTGAGTAGCTTATTTCCTTGCCATTTGCGTCATTCTTCAAGACAGCAGGTACAGGCAAGGCAAGGAATTTAAGGTTTCTTGCTCTTTGGGAGGTCCAAATCAAAGAAGGTCCTCTGTGCTGAGCCACTGACTCAGCAAGAACATGCTCCTTGATCTCAAAACATTTAAAAATTTTTTAAAAATATTTATTTATTTTTCGAGAGAGAGAGAAATAGAGAGAGAGAGAGAGATTCTGTGAGCAGGGCCGGGGCAGAGAGAGAGGGAGACACAGAATCTGAAGGAAGCTCCAGTCTCTGAGCTGTCAGCACAGAGCCCGATGCGGGGCTCAAACTCATGGATTGCGAGACCATGACCTGAGCTGAAGTCAGACGCTCAACCAACTGAGCCACCCAGGCCCCCCATTGATCTTAAAACATTTTAGATTCTCTCCAAGTGCATGAGGCCTGTGCTATGCCTGTGCCTCAGCTGCATAGAAGACAGGGTAGAGTAGGTCTAACCCTTGACTTAGACAGTGAAAATCACCTCTATAAGGTCAAGCTTTCTCTTCTTTCTTTTTTTTCCATCTTGCTTCAGCTTACCCCAGTGAGATCCCCATTTTAATCATCCTTGGGTGTCAACTTCCAGAGAACTGGAGTCCCTCCCCTCTTTCCCTCTCCCCTGCAGGCATGTGCTTCTCTCTGCTTTTCCACATGAGTAGTTTTGGAGCACCAGGGGAAACCTCCTGATGGATGTTGGTTCTCCTCCTTGCTTTGCTACTTACTTGCTGGCTGGGTGACCTTAGACAATTCAGTTGACCTTTCAGAGGGTCAGTTTTCCCATCTGTGTAATGGGGCTACTTACCTACCTCATAGGTCTACTGTGAAGATTAAATGAGATGATGCTTGTAAAGCACCGAGAAGCCTTCCATGTAGTAGCCATTCAGTGAATGTGTAGTAATTGAATGTGTAATTCAATGAATTCAATTCAAAGTGTAATTCAATGAATTCAATTCAAAGTGTAATTCAATGACTTAGTAGTATCATTACTTACAAAATAGTGATTTTGCAAAATCCCCACCCCATCCATACCCCCAGCATCATGGGCACTAGGGAATCCAGCCCTACAAGAGACATTTAGTATCGCTTAACAGCTGGGACAGAGCTCTTGGGGGAATCTTGGCCGAGGATCGGTTTCCCGTTCCACTGACTGCCAGGTCCCTGTGGCTAAAGAGAAGGGTCAGGCTTCTCTGCCTGCTCCTGTTGCTGAACAGAGAGCCTGGTCAACAATGACGTTGTAGACTTCTTCAGTTGAGATGGTATTTTTCAAAATGGGATTTGGCCTCTATTTCAAATTTGTTTCTTCTTTGAGTACATCCATGCATCCATAATTCTGTAAACCATGTTGTATGTTAATCTAGGGATGGCTGGTGAACATTTGGGGGATGGTAAAAAGAGACAGCTGTGCTATTAGACAATTCTATGATTTATGGGAGTGAGATGTTGCCAGACTGATCACTGAGTGATTCAATTCAACTCCTGGGTTGTTGTGGCAGTTTACCATGTAGCATTCAGCTCTCAGATCCACCCATTTCTGCTCAAACACAGCACAGCCCGTGCCTCAATACTGAGGGTATGGAGGAAAAGGCAGTCAGTCAGTGTCTAAATATGGCGCATGCAAGAGACGCTCGGGGAAGATGTAGCTGGACCTCTCAGGTAAGAACACCTATTGGTGTACTACTGGACCCCTTCATTGTTTGGAATATCTAGGCAATGACACCAGCCTTTAGGAGTGGGAAGGTATGGTCCAGGTTTGGTAACAGTCCAGATCAGTGCAAGCTCCTGGCAAAACTGGGACAGTCTTGAGTTTGACTTCTCATGCTCATGTCTGGAATTCCTTTCAGCCTCCTCCAAAAGGCTCAGGGACTTACTGCTGCCTTGAGCAGGGAAGTGACCAACTCCTGCCATAGGCTCATATTCTTCTCCTACTCTAACATCATTGTGTTAAAGGAGCAGTTGACTCCAAGACCTAGAGTTTCTCAATACCCAGGGAAGGGTGTTATTTCTTACTGACTATTCCCTCCAAGGGGTTGCTTTGGTGAATGGGGACTGCAGAGGTATCCCATAAGTCTTCTGACCAGGAGGGTCAGGATATTTATTAGCTTGGCCCTTCTCTTAGAGAAGCCCTTTTCTCGGAAGACATGGACAGCTTTAGATGATCAATCCCTCATAAAGGGCACTCAGTTGAAGACTCTGGGCCCTGGAATAGGCAGGCTAGCATGGACGTGTGGGGTGGTTTGGTTACCCTCTGATCACACCACTTTTCCTCCTCTTCCACCCAGACACTAACTGGTAAAACTAAAGAGATCTCACCTGCCCGTGAACAGAACAGGCAGTGCTCCTACTTAGCATGGGTCTCACAGACAGTACTTATTCTTCTAGAACATCCAAAGTGGATGGTACCCTTTGCTATTTTCATCTCCCCAGTGTACATTTAATGTGGACAACTTACTTCCAGAATGTCTTCATATTCTGTGGATGTTCAGATTCTCCCCACCTGGTCTCTCCTCTACAGATAGCATTATATCAAATGCTTTTTAAATGTTGGCAGGGTGGGGGTGTATCATTTCCTCACATGCACTTGAAAATGAGGGGGTGTTGGTTTAATTGTTATAAATGAGAATCACTACTGGCAGTTAGTAGGTGGTGGCTAGAGATGCTGAATATCTTGCTGTATACAGAATAAACCCACGTGAGAAAGAATTGTCTGCCCAAAGTACCATTGTCACTCCCACTGAGAAATACTCCAGGCTCTTCCCTTCCCCCCACCCCCTCCCATCGAAATTTATCTATCCTGTATCCCATTACCTCAGCTGTATATTCTTGCTAAATCTGATAAATTAATCTAATGCTAAGGTGTTAGAGGCCAGTGATATTTTATTATTGTTTTATGTTTTAAAAATTTTTAATGTTTATTTTTGAGAGATAGAGACAGGGCATGAGTGGCAGAGAGGGAGACACAAAACTCATAGCAGGCTC